TTATTGGGGGGGGGGGGGGGGGGGGGGCAAGGGACACACCAAAATGGTCCCGAAAAGCGCATCCCCAAGTCGGTCAGCATGCACCCCAGTACCCACAGGCGTGTTGTGCTCTACACGGTCACAGCAAACCTTGGCTTCAGCCCACAATGTAATAATGAAAACGGGAAGGTCTGCTTCGCTCCAGGAGGGATGAGTGGTCAGAGGGGGCGGGAGCTGGCCACTTCTCCACCTTCCCTACGCCCCCAGGACCCCGGAGAACTCACCAAGCCGCCTGGCACAGAACGCGCAGGAGGGCGAAACTGACCCCGAGGCACAGCGCGATCGCGGGTACCTTCTTGGCAGAAACCATCTTTGCAACATGCCATACTTTAAGCCTGTTCACGGTTCCAGGCTCTCAAGATGCCCTGAGCAGGGTGCGAGGTGAGGGCAGAGTGGCTCCCGCGGCGTGCGCACACTCGCGCTCACACTCGCCCGCGCTCACACTCGCCCGCGCTCCGACAGCCCGAACTGCGGTGGGCGTGTGTGTGCACGCGGGCCAGGGGAGGCGGAACCTGCCTTCCCTCGCCCCCTCCTTTTCTCGCTCTGCGTTCTGTGTGTATGTAGAGCTCTGTATACTGCTCCGCACCCTTTCGTGCCCGCACCGGTGAGGGTTTGGAGTTAACTCCGGCGCGCCTGCGCCTCAAAGCTGGACAAGTTTCTTCCAACCTGTAACTCTGGGCACCAGGACCTGAATCCTTCGTCCCTCCTCCACGTCACAGCCCCCAACCCCAAAGAGGTCCCCTGCCACTGCAGCGCTAGGCTTCCCGGTCTCCCTCTTGAGCCCCTCCCTTCCGGATTTCTCCATCAGAGTTCTCTGGTTGGGTTGTGTCAGAACCTGTTTGTACCCATTGTCAGGGCTGTTCACGGAGAAAGGGTAGGGCAAGATCTCTGGGCATAGGGGGTGGGCAGTGGTGAGGATCTTAAGTCAAGTCTGAAACCCTCTCCCTCAGTTGCTAAGAGATGGGGGGCGCTTTGCAACATGGATGAGCTTCCTCTCCGTTATAGGGGTTACAACTCCCTAGGAGGACTGTGGCCAAACTGTTAGAAAGTGAGCCCCAACCCTGCGCTGCAATCGGGCGTTTGCCAAGCTATTGCCTTAAAGATGCCAAATTTCTTCCTCTACCCACCCGCACCCAGGGAACGCCCGCCCTGCACTTTGCTGCTCCATCCTTTTCTGGAGGGGATGAAAGAGATGAAGATGCCATACCTCGAGTCAAAACCACTTTCCCTTCTTGAAACCCACTTCTTTTTCAAAATGCAGTTGTCTGACTCTGAAGCCACCGATGGAGGGAGAGAATGGCTGGACACAGACCAAGGAGGAAGAGGGAAGACAGAAAATGTGAGAGTGGGGGAGAAATGCATAGATTAAAATGGAAGGAGAAATCTCTACTCATGACTCAAAAGGAAGACTTCACACTCTGCTTGCACGGTTTCATAGATTCAAGGTAAGTACTTCCCACAGAAGTTTCTAAACCTTAAGCATTAGCTTCCATAGGTGGAGTGTCTTTCCTATGAATACTTAAGCATGTGAAAATTTTCATAGAATGGGCTAGTGATAGAAGTCATTTCCATAATTCTAGGTCCCTATAACTGGACACCAATTACTCTGTTCTGTTTAAAGCTTTAATGATTTGTTCAGATGTTGACGAGTACTTGACTGCTCTTGCATGGAAATATTACCTGGAGAAGTTTCAAGGTTTTGTTTGCTTTCACCTCAGGAGTCCTGAGTCTCTAATATATATATATATATATATATATATATATATATATATATATCCAAAAGTGTTCATAGCTGTGACAGTGAAAGCTATGTGCACTCACTTTATTCTATATCCTGAATTGCTGCCTTCATGAAATGTATTGCATTTCACCCTAATTCCATCTGTAATACTCTACTTTTACAGACTGTAACTGCCTTGAGGCCCAAATTTTGTAATTTTTGTCCATTTCTATTTATGTTCTTTTACAGTGTATGGTATATTGCATGTTCATAGATACTTACTGAAGGAACAATTAAATCAATGAATCACTTATTTTCAGACCCATCTTATTAATTCAAATGAAATTCAACCTCTCTCTTTGGGCATAAACAATCAAAGTACTAATGTAGTCTACAAATATGCCAGTATATTTATAGTCTACAAATATCCCAATCCCTTACCCTTACAAATTGTCCTCATCAAAATCTCATGGTACATTATATCATTATAGTACCTTAAATATCATTTCTCTAATCTTAATACTTTTCTACACTTTTAAAAACTGACAATTTCCTAATAATGTTCCCTATAATTTCCATTTAATTAGGGTTCATATAGATCAAAAAACAACCAAGAATAACCTTGGAAAAAAAGAAGTTGTATATTTTAAAAAATAAATGCCTTTAATATTTCAACTTGACATATGTAAAACTAATCCCTACAAATACAAAAGTACATTCCTCCCAGTGAGGCTATTTCTGAGTGTATTACTGTTAAGTGGTGTCTAATTTAAATTCAAGTGATGGCATTATAAAAGCACTATATCTCATTTTACTTTCACAACTATTCATTTATGCAGTGGTAACATTGTATTATTCAGGAAAGTTATATGTTGTATTTTTCTGCCATCAAAGTATGTTGCCTGTCAATGTGAGTCTGCATTTAAAAAAAAATCCAACACTCAAAAATATTCAGATTGCTTTAAATTTTAAAAATCACTAAATTTTCTACTGTTTCTGAAAATTTTTTATCTTTTATTTATTTATTCACTTGTTACATGGTTTTGCTATACATCTCGGACTCACATGTGGTACTGGGAATCGAACCAGGGTCCTTGCACTTGCCAGGAAAGCACTTAGACTACTGAGCTATCTCCCCAGTGCTTGCCACTGGTTTTTATATAAACATCTATACATGTCTAGGATTGTAAAGCAGTTTACCTGTGTCTATTTAGTGATGCACTAAATATGATGTGTTAAAATAATACCCTTATCTTCAATAAGTCTGATTAGTTTGTCTAGTCAAATTTAAAGTGCATTACTTCCAAATGTTGTTAAGCAAGCCATATTTTAAAAATTTGACAATTCAGAGGTTCACCTCTGATTTGATGGGATATGAATAACAGCTTGCTTTACCACTAAAGTCTTAGTATAGCCATATCAGAGTTGATGATACCTAAGAAGTAAAACACAAGCTCTTCTAACTGTGCTCATTCTTTTGTTGGACTGTTTATAACTTTCATTAGGCTTTAAAGAACTGCAGACAACTGTAGTAAGGACTAAGGTTTTAATACAATAGATGATGCATCTAATCAAACATATAAGCATGTGAACAAGTAATTTGAATTGATGTGTGATAAACATCTGGACTCCTATTTGTAGGCTCCTCTATAGTTCTATAGGCTATTTTATAGAATTTATGCATGCTTTGTCAGCATTCAGTCCCACTTATTTTCCATTTATCAAATGTACAGCCCCCTTGGTAAAAAAAAAATTTAGAATGGTAACACACTGAATAGGAAAAGGTTCAACCTGTTACTGTTTATTTCTGGTAAATACTAAACCAATTATAACCATCAGAGGAAGATAATGATGGGAATCACTCCTTTAAATTCTGAAGGCTTGTGGATGTAGAAAAAGTTTAAAATATTTTTGATCCAGACATGCAGTAACTATTGATTATTTTATGTTGGTTCATTTCTATGTCACATTTATTTATTACAGAATTGATTTCATGCTCTCTCCTCATGCATTTCCTTATTTGCATTAAAATATTTCACTGAAATGTGACTGGTATGCCAGCCTATTCTGTTATCTTTGTCGAGTTATTGATTTTTATCTCCATTTGTTTCCATTGTACATTAGTGTAATATACAACTACAACAGAATGTTTTATATACATATACATAACAAAATGATTATGGAATTCAAATGTTAGCATAGGAATCACTTTACATAAAATTAATTAGTCAGGTTTCCCAATGTCAGTATGAGAAGCCTAACCTGCAACTTAAAAGAGGAGAGATTTAATTTGGCTAATTATTTGAGAGGCTTTAACTCATGGCCAGTTGCTTAAGGTTTATGGAGAGGATGAAAGATCATGGTGGAAGGCCATGGCAGAGGCCATACGTCCACTCCACAGCAGCCGAAGTGGAGGGAGGGATAGAAGACAACAGAAAGATGGGTTCCTTTATCTTCTTCTTCTTCTTTTATTTTCTAAGTATAAATATATCAGGAGAGTCTGGTGGAGCAGGACTGCTCACTTCATGGCAACCAGGAAGAGAGGAATGAGGTACTGGTAAGCATATTCTCGGAAACCACTCCCCACTGACCATTGCCCTTAAACAGGGCTCCACCTGCTAGCAGGACATGCACAGTGAACACCAGGTAATTCATCTTCTGCTCAGTGTTGTTCTCCCCTGCTCCAATCACTTCTAAATCCTGTCATGTTGTCAATTAATTGACATAATTATCTTTATGTGTGTGTACTAAGAGCACCTAAAATCTTCACTTTTAGCAAGTAAATGTTCAGAATGTAGTATAATAGCATTAACTATGTCACCATGCTGAACAGTAGAGCTGTCAATTTATTCATCCTACCCAATGGTGAAGCTTGTACCTTAAGGAAATCGATATAACCTTTTCCTTCCCACTTCTCATTCTACTCCTTGAAACTACTACTCTCTACTTGTATGTTTGGTGATTAGAGGAAAGTCTCTACTTGATTGGTTTTGAAATCCATCCTGGGGATTAATGGAGCACACTTTTAGGTATGTCTAGGTGGGTCGCAGAGATGAGCCCTTGGTGCTGAGGTCTGCTCTCGCATCTCTTCAGCTCTGGCATAGCTCCTGTCTTCTGTCCTGCTTCTTGGTCACCATGGACTAGGCATCTTTGCTCTACCATGACTTTTTCTCATGATGTTTCTGCTGTGCGGCTAGCCAAATGGACTGAACTTTAATAGGAGCTACATTAAACCTCTCTTACATTAAATTGTACGTACCAAGTATTGTGTCCAGCAGTGAGAAAGCTAATATAGAAACCAATTAGTGTGGTTAGTACTCGAGAAGTGGAGCCATTGCGGAGACTGCACCTATCCATGTGATTCAGAAGCATTTGGAGAAGTTTGGAGACGAGGCCAACACAGAGTGCCATTCATGAGCTTGTTGAGGAATTCTGGTAAACCTCAGAAGACCAAAATGTTAACAAAAATGAAAACAGCGAAGTCCAGGCCCAGGATGTTTCAACTGGGAATAAGCATTCCTTTGGCAACTGGACTAGAAACCATGGGTTTTACTCAGGCAGAAAAGTTCTCTGCATTTTGCCCATGTTCTGAGATTTCAGGAAACTGGGTTTAAAGGTGGTAGATTAGTGAATCTTGCAAAGGCAATTTCAATACAACCTAACATTTAAGTTGTAGCAAGGGCACTACTGACCAATTTTTATCCAGATTTACAGTGATGATTCAAGCAAAAGGCAGAGAAGAAAAGTTTGAAAAGTTTAAATTTTAACCTAGACTGCACTGAATAATAAGGCTGGAACTGGAGGAAATTTGACTGGTAAAGAGATTTGTACCATAAAAAAGAAACTAAGTACTTTGAAAAGGAACAAAAAGTGATGTTTTTAGGGAATCTCAGAAATCATTGAGACCCCCACTTATTGCAGGTTCATCAGTATAAAATTGTCAATAATTCATTTAAGAAAAATCTCTGGTACCCCTGCTTGAGAAAAGGCTCCTAGAAAATTAGTTCTCCAGTATGCATTTCACCTTTGTTGGACACCAA